TTGGTTATTTGCATAACCTCCGTCTTGTCTATGTTCACCTGGAGTCCTGTCTTCTCCAGCTGCTTCTTCGACCAGTTTATCGGTTTTCGCTTGTAAGCCTTCGATTTTGTGTGACATCAAACATAAATAATCCACGCGCGAAATCCAGGTCTTCTAGGTTCTCCACGTCGGTCCAGGATATCCCTGTCTTCTCCTTTCCCACTGTCTGACGCATAATCCAGTCCACCACAATTAGGAATATCATTGGTGATAATAAGCACCCTTGTCTGACTCCTGTGTTTACTCCAAACGCTTCGCTGAGTTTTCCGTTGTGGATCACTTGACATGTGCCGTTGTCGTACAGCTGTTGAATGAGGTTGATGAATATTTGGGGTGAGCCGTCGTACTCGAGTAGTTTCCAAATTACTTCGCGGTCAACGCTGTCGAAGGCCTTCTCAAAGTCTATAAAGTTGAGGTGGAGGTTTGATTGCCATTCCATGCTTTGTTCGATGATGATGCGTAGAGTTGCAATTTGGTCAGAACATGATTTGCCTTTCTTGAATCCAGCTTGTTCTGGTCGGAATTCTGTATCCAGTGCGTCCTATATTCTCTCCAGGATGATGCGACTCAGAATTTTACTTGGCGTCGACAGGAGCATGATTCCTCGCCAGTTCTTGCAGAGTTCTAAGTCGCCCTTCTGTGGTTTAGTAGGTTAGTATCATGATCCTGAGCTGCGATAGGCAGCTCGAAGGATTTCTGCACGTACCTATTCTCATAATGAGAATATATTATTATTATTATAAATATACCTTACGCTATATATATATATATATATATATATATATATATATATGCATATATATATATATGTAATATACAAAATTATGGTTGGTCGGTAGTTAAATTGACTGATTTGATTGGTTGCGTAGGGTCAAAGGTTTTGTGTGAGGTTAAAGATTGCCAATAAAATTATTGTACCCACGTTGCAATATGAAAATAGAAGTGAAAAACAAAATATTTTGCTTCAGCAGGAGCTAGTTTAAATTGTCAATACTAGTTTTAACCGCTTTCTAACACCTTCTCTGTAAAACACTTTGATTACTTTCTTGAGTCTGTTTCAAAGGCTTTTGTCTGATTCCCTGTCGAAATGTCATTGAAGTGGGAGTAAATAGGACCTTTTGTTCGTAGATAAGTTATACTGCAAGTCTGGCTTCTGTGAACAACTCCGCATAGTTCTTGTGTCTGGACCAATTCTACCCTACTATATTTCTCGTCTTAATACTTTCCTATTTGTCCATTTTGGAGGTGAATAATGGAATTCATGCACATGGACCTGCTTCAGCAATTTGAAAACCCTATGTTAAGCATCATTCTGATGATTGAACTGACATCCAATTTTCAGATCCTCGTACCCTTGCATTATTAGTCTAGGCTTACTGGCATCATGGACGGTTTTGACCTCTCGAATAAAAATACTTTTTAAAGACAACTGATTTTAACTGAAGAATTGGGTGTTCTGCAATAAAACAGCAAAAATTTACTTAGATTAATTTCACCATTCCTTCAAACTGAGTCCTTTATGAAAAAGAGCCTGATGGTGTATACTGAATGTTCCGGTTGAACAGTAGATGAGGCACTGAATTGTTATCGTTTCTCCAAAGATTATTTAAGGCTTCCCTGTGATTTTGGTCAGAATACTACCCAAATGTGTTTACTATTCATATATTTATAGTAACAATCGACCAGAGTTAACTTAAGTCTTTCACCAAAATTATACAGTCTGCCTAAAGAGCATAAAAATGATTTGCACTTTGACGAGTACTAGATATGTTGAACTACCCCATATTATCCGATAGCCAAATGGATGATCACACTCTTAAAGCCTCTCAGTGATGAATCGATTAAACACAAAATAAAAGATACCTTCGAATTTCTTCAAAGGATAAAAAATTTAGATGTTAACAATAAATTCATGATATCGTTGACGTATCTTCGTTACTAACTAATGCACCACTGATGGAAACAGTAGATTTTACATGACGAAAAAAAATATTAGACAAAACATTGATATTGACATTCTCATATCTTCTATCAAGGGGCTTTTTTCAGATGCACAATGTTTATTTCTTATTTAATAAGAAATTCTACAAACAGATTGGTATGGCTACTGTGTCACCACTAGGACCAGTTGTAACAACAGAAGACAAGGCTGGCAACAGATCAGTTTTATTACGAAAACCAACAGGTATTTATATGTACTTTACGTACATTAATAGGCTTCTGCCCGCAGAAAGAAGGCGGTCTTCTGATTGATATATGTGTAAAACTTGGGCACTGTGGTAGTAAGTAATTCCATATTAGTTTGTTTATTTGATATATCACACAGTGAAACAGTATTATTTACTGGATGACGTTTCGAACAAAATTTATTGTTCATAATCATATCAATCATATCATAATTGATATGATTATGAACAATAAATTTTGTTCGAAACGTCATCCAGTAAATAATACTGTTTCACTGTGTGACATATCAAATAAACAAACTAATATGGTCTTCTGATTGGTTGTTTGCAAACAAACGCAGTCTTCTGCTTTCTCGTTTTCGATATTTCTCGGAAATGCGAGCCACTTGTCTGCGAATCATATTTGTCCACGTCTAGGTCAGCTGTGATCGGTTGTTGAATCAGCCTAGATTAATTTCTACCAATCAGCGTAGATCAATGTCTACCAATTGGCTAGCAGCTTGCTCTCACCACACAGTTCTAGCTGACACTGTCCTCGCAGAATGAGAGAATGAACTCTGATAGATGTAATCAGTGATTTAGAATTCTATTGTCGTTACATGGATGACACATTTTCGATCATCAAAAGTAAGAATGAAGCAAAGAACATCTTCAACAAATTTAACGACGTACTTCCTCCAATAAATTTCACCATTGAGAAAGTAAGAAACGCTAGTATTTCATTCCTGGACGTCATTATAACTGGAAAGAGGATGGTACAGGAAGAACGAGTACACACAGAAAACCTAAACAAACTCGCAATTATACTTATTTTTCGAGCTTCGTACCCTTGAAATACAATAGCAATCTCATAAAGTGTTAGATCCACAGAGTAAGAAAACTCTGCTGTAATGAATGCCTTAATGAAGCACTAGTTGTTATGAAGCAAATGCTGAGTGAAAACAGTTATCCAGGGAAATTCATTGACGAGAATATGAATCTAAAGTAAAGGCTAAGGAGAGCACCAACACCTGAGAAGAAGACACTGTTCTTAAGACTTCAGTTTCTTGGCGATAATACCATTGAAATAGTAACACAACGCTTGAGGGATATCGTGAAACGACCAATGAGTACCACTGAAGTTTGCTGTCTCCTCACAACCACTCCTGATTTACGTTCGATAGTTGAGGATGAACCGTATTATTTTTCTCGTTGAGTGTGTAAATATCAGCCTCACTGCCTTTGTTGATCTAGTTAAACTAGGCTTGCATTTAGCTACGTTTATCACCGAATTTCTGAACATCATACTGCGTGGTTAAGTGAGGGGAATAAGAGGTCTCTAAGCAGCTCTGTTATGGCTCATCTTGTGGATACTGAGCACGAGAATAGTGTTAACCATCTTCATGAACTCATCTACCAAATTCCAAATAATCTTTATCTTAACATACTAGTTCACCATTTGCAAAAAGCTGGAGATTTCAGAATCTCCATCGAGAAACCTAAGTCAACAGATAACAAGAAAGACATTTCTCAAGCATTACTTTGTAGGGATTTGTTTGATTGGTTACCAGATATCATCATGAGATGACATCGGCTGGATAATCGTCAAAAAACCAGTGACAGCTGTTTCGTCCCAGTTTAGGACTCTTCAGAGTACGCAGACCAACAAATTTTCGGTACACAGAACCACCAAATGTTACCCATTAACCGTTTAAAGAATATCAATTCCCAGATGTTCTTGTGTCTAACCCAGTTTCTAGAGATTATTGCTTCACATCGATTTGAAAGTCATATGGTCATTGTTGATGCAGCTTGAACCGTGAATAATATGTCTGTCTGTGTGTGTGTCATTCCTGTATACACTAGAGTATGCAATTGATGTACGTCTACCGAGTTCATGTAAACATCCAACGATGAAAGTCAACTGTTCACTTCCACTATCTTTTGTCAATCAGAAGATTCTGACTAACAATGCCAAACACTTCACCATCTCCGAATTTCTCAGTTCTCATGCATGTAGCCTTCAATGTGGACACTTTCATTGTCTGAAGATTTGGGCTTTGAATTTCCGAGACATTGGAATGCGCGAATCCGCTAACTCTACCACATGTGGAACAGTGATTTCGTAATGTTAGAAACATTAGGCTGGATTTAAGAAGTTGTTCACGATGGTGTTAGATGCATTCAGGCCGATTGGAGTGTACTGAGGTCTTAGTAGACGGAACCGTCCCACCATCATTTACATCTTTCAGTCGACCAAAATGAATAGTAGTGTAATTAATTCAACTACGACACACAACTGGACAGACATGAAGCATCTCCCACAATACACTAATATTCCCCGCTTCCCATCCCGGAAGACAGTCTAATGATTCTGTCGAATCTTCGACGACGTGTTAGCATTCTCAGAAATAATCAATCTTGTGCAGTTACATTTTACATGATTCTGAATCAAATGTGTTCGGGAGTCCATTTAACAAATAATAGTTCACCATTCTCTGGCATATTTGTGAGACAAACAAACTAATGTCGCATGGTAAGAAACCGGGCTGAAATGGGGAGGTGACGGCGGAGGAACAGGCTTTGGTTGTTATGTATTTTGACAGAGTTGACTACACCATTGAAATGTGGTGGTGGAACTTGAAAGTATACGTTCGCGAAATCTGTCTCCTGAATTCAAGTAACCCTGCAGTCCTAATCGACTCCACCGGGCGCTTAATGCTAACCACAATGAATGACGAAGCTACTCCTTACTCCTTATGTTATATAGGATGCTGAGAAAATAAACACACATACCTCTAGTGTTCACAGACATCTCATACTATAAATTGGTCTGTTCGATTGGGATAACGTTCATGTTATAACACTCATCAACTACTATTGTAGTGGCTGAAGACGACAGGATTTGGTGACGGAATTATTTATTTGCAGCTTGATACATAGACAAAATACGTCTACCACATAGGAGAATCACAATTTGCATATATCTTCGGTACTGTGATGCCTTGTCTTCCGTATTGCTCTTCTTTTGTTGTTTCTCAAGCATCGTTCATCAAATCCATCTCTTCGCCACTCGATATTCTCTACCCTGATATGCATATTAATATCTGAATCTATATATTACTCATAAATCTGGTCATCAGTAGCACACCCCATTATATAACTGTATGTTGACGGTGACAATTTAAGTCTATATCCATTCGAAATCTTATACGCAGACAATGTGTCCACATGAGAATATGAAAGTGCAGATGTCAACAACTCATACTAATATCAACAGAACTGGTTTGGACAAATCTAACGCTTTCTGGGACAATACAATGAACATTTCGCTATTCGCAAATAATGAGTCATTCTGTATTAGACAAGTTTTGTCCTTCACTGTCTGTAGCTTATTATATCCTACTCTGAACTCTAATCCCATTCTCACATTTCGTCAATGACTTTTCCAGTGACAAGTAAGTTATCATCATTTTTTATGAAAAGATGTTACTCTATACACTACTTATATGTATTATTTATAAGCAACACGCACTCCACAATACCTGTACAACAAGAGAGGCCGCAGAAACCTAGAACAATACAATCCACAGTTCCTACGTGCCCGAATCTTCTATCCTAATCGAACGAGATATCAATAAATACCACAGTATTTCACCATCCCATCACAGTCATTCCTCACAATCCTCTACCCAAACATGATCAATACATCCTACCTACAAGACGTGCGCATACTCTCTTCACTTTACCACTCACTTTACCAAGGTGGCACTGATCTCAAGAACGCCAACTCACATCGATAGTGGTTATGATCATTTTTATTTGTACTTGTATTATTACAACAAATTATAATGCAAAATCACATACACTGGACACAACTGGCAGTGTGTCACAAAGCAATATAATATAATAAAGAGAAATAAGTAGTTGAAATGCAGAAGAAAAGACAAAAGGAAAAAGTAGTTCTGATCACAATTTTCGACAATTCCTGAAGCACGGGAGATAATAATTCGCTTATAAAGTGTGTATTCGTGTGTGTGTGTGTGTGAATGTATTCTGGCTGCGTGGATGTACGGGTGTTCAGTGAGTGTGTGTTTGCATCTGCAGATAAATGCATGTATGTTGTATGTGTATGCACATGTCAGGCAATGTGTATATACAAGCATACAATATTTACTGGATAAGTGTGAGAGGAAACAGAGGTAAACTGAAAAATCAAATCAAATCAAAAACACTTCGAAGTCAATCAACGCACTGTTCAACAAAATCCAATAAACGACGACCATAGAATTCCGGTTTCACAGAGGTCACATCTGAACCATGCTTTACTGTTTTATACGTTTGAGCTGTACGCTTACGCATTCCATAACGTGTCAGTATATCGATAATAGCCACAAAATAAATCAGTGAATGAGGAGAATCTGCACACAGGATTGAAATCAACAAGAAACACACAATAATCATGAAAGTACTGAGTGTACACACAATAGACAAATTTTAAGCAAACACTGTTTAGCAGTGAACACACAGACTCCTAACAGAGACAGTCGTTCACAAATGTGCAAATAAAAAATCACAAAATCCGTCTCACACGATAATACCCATATATGTTAATGACACACATTATCAGACTTGATTGTGACTCATTTTTCATGAGCACAGAGTAGCTTAAGTGTGGATAATCCAACCGTCAAACATACAGTCAACTTCTCAATGTTTGAGGCAACCGATCTCACAACGGACAGATGTTTCAAACACATCTATGACTAAATACTCCCACCTATGTAGCCTCCAGTATCTTCCACTCATGCATCATAATAACATGTAGAAAGAAGCAAATCCATAGTCTGTTCTCCTAGAAGCCATACAGAGATCTCCGAAAATACTACACGTGAACACAATCCACTAATACAATAATGAGCATTCAGACACACATCTTCACATTTACCATTCACCCAACTAAGTAATGCATGAATCTGTACAGATTCGTTTAGCTGAATCTCCTCCCCCCCCCCCACACCCTATTTGAACAACCTGCATGTGGCGCTACACAATTATTAGCACTACTGATGCAATTGCTGTCGACTGACTCTACAACACTCATCATTCGTAATAAACAACTTCTGTCAAAGCACAACCACCACTCAGAATGAAAGTGCAACAATTAAAGCGGTTAAAGAAAAACTGAGAATATTAACACTCTTACCGGTTGAACCTTTGATTCCATAGCATTCTAAACTAGGATGCAGATCACCTGAAAACAATTGAGGTAGACAAATCGCTCCGGGTGGACTGTCCGGTGGAGTTAAATCGTCTAAAATATTCACACACACACACAAAAACACACAAAACAATGAAGTAAAACCACGTGTGAGGAACACTTGTCTACTAGAGAAAAATCACACCTAGAACAATCAACCAACTTCAAGTTGTTCTATTTCACTTGGTAGGAAGTGAAACTTTCACAAAAGTCAGCTTGTAACACTTCACAACTTGACTTGCAAACACAATTAAAAAACACACTTCATGTAAACACCCATTATTATTATTACTAATATTATTATTATTATAATTATTATTATCATTGTTGTTATTATTATTACACACTTAGCATAATACACTTGACAATAACAATAACAAGGACTTTGTGATAATTCACTCCACCATGTCCTGAAACCAATGCACTAACCAATTCCATGTTCACTCGTTAATCATTCAAACACACACCACACGGCTTTTTATTCATAATTACTGCCTAATAACAAGCATGCACACTGCATCCTGCACACACAAAGATACATGCACACACACACACACTGCAATTTGAATGTCGCTGACTGACTTGTGAACAACTTGTTACTTACCACTAAGAAATACCGATTTTTACATCGTCGAAACAAACGTCAACAATGTGATTATAATGACTCTAGTGACAATCAAATTACAACGACAGTCAACAAAATGCTAAAGTGTGAGATGTCTATCGTGGATTCCTGAGTGACTTCCACAAAACAAACCAATAACAGTAAATAGACTGCTCATCCCGACAACCAACATACTCGTCAGTACTCGTAAACGTAAGTCAAACCCTCCAAGTTCACTCACCGTATATCTTGAGTGTTTGATGAGGAATCTACAAATCTTAGATTCACTCTACTTCATCACACGGAAACTACACACTAACACACCACAAACACAGTCACACTGACATCCAAGAGGATCCACACTCTATCCACTTACTACTCTCTACCAATCACAAAATGAAAAAATACACAAATCACAAAAAGTGTGTAGCATACCACCATTTAAAAGCACCAGAGAAAATCAACACAACCTACTCGGAGGCACTTGTGGATTGCTGTCCGGTATCAAAACTCCTTCCTCTTCATCGTCATCGTCATCACCAGTGCTCACATTCCCAGTCCCAACACCACCAGTACCCGATGAAGCCAAGCCAAACGCAATACTCGATCTCGTCGTCGACGGATGGTTATATTGACCGTGTGATACAAGTGTCCCAAGACCATCTCCTGCTGACACCACCTTATCCTCAAACGCTCGATTAGCATCCAACACGGAGTCACCAGTCCCTTCCACGTCATCACCATCATTCTCATTTGAAGTAGTCAATGCAATCTCAGGATCGTGGACACCGATTAGAAGACTGTAATCAATCAAATTGTTTTCTTGTAAAAACTGTCAAAAACAACATTTACGAAACACACACAAGTTATCCATTCATTGAAACGTGTGGAAGAAATAACGCACACAGAGTCACAAAGACTTGAGATCAATTTCACACTGAGGGTAAACGCGAATCACATTACCTGCCTACCATTCTGAAGAGAATTTACACACAACGAAGCGATGATCCATGATTATCCCACCGATACGCTGTACAAATTACCACACACATAGACACGTAAATCTTTGTGGGGACGTTCAGTGTAGAATCTACAGGTGTAACCTAGCCTTCTTTCAACACACAGCACTTCAGAAACACCTTAACCTGGGTAATGCAGTTTCCGGTGACACTAATCGCAGTTTCCTCACATCCATTCACAACAACAAACTTTGTGAACTGAAAAGATATGCGACTTTCTGTTAGGAAATGTATTGTATCACCTTCTTTCCATTGTGAATATAAATCAGTTCTCCACACCCCACATTCATACAACAAATCAAACATGTGCTGCCCTCTGGG